CACAGACACATGAGTGCCCCAGGGTTCACTTTCTAAAGGAGTGTGGTGCCGTGTCCTTCCTGCGGGATAAAAAGAAAGGACAGTGTCTGTGTGGACTGATTCTGAAGAAATGTCCAGTGTCGATTCAGTAAGTCATCGGTGTTTGGCTCATGATCCGAACACTGACGTTCGCTTTTTGATGAACAAATGGAAAATCCTTCAGTGTACGTTTAGGGCAAACTTCTACAAGTGAGCGGGTGTGACTGTCTGTCTTCTTGTGTTCAAGTTTGGGGAAGCCAGCGGGGTAACGCTGTAAAAGGTTAAGTCAGCGTGTGTTCGCTGGCTGCCAACTGTGGCCAGGTCAGAGCAATGTCCTGGGTGTCGCTGTGAGTACATATGTCTTAAATGTCAGATTCTTGTGTGACCGGCGTCCTCTTGCTGTTTGCTGCCTCCCTGTTCCCTGGTCAGATGCCTTCAGGGACGAGCAGGCAGACACACAAAGACCTTCGCGTGCTGGTGTTCAGACTCCCGGTTAATGTTAATTCTACAGAAACTGACAAAATACATGGAAGTTTCAATTAAAAGTGAGTATCTTATATTTTTCCTTTTAAGTCTCATATGTTAGATATTTGATAAATTAATTAAGAGTTCAGGTTACTGATATGTAAAGCAATGGCTGGTCATTTACAAGTACATCCTGGCCAAACAGTAAGAAACACACACTAACAAAAGCGCCCAGGTGAACTCTGTCTGCCCGGGAGGCCTCCCCAAGCATCCATCTTGATGTCAGCAATTGCTCACTAATGTGTTGACTTACGGCCGCCCTCAAAAGCAAAGGGAAAAGTCTGGAATTTACAGCATATCAATGGATCAGTTGATAAGCTTTTACTGGTTTAATATCCCCATGTCCTGCTGCTTGGAGCCACTTCAGGTTAGCAACAGAATGTTTGCCATCTCTGTGTGATAAAGGAAGTCAAAGGACTAAACAAACTCTAAGACCATTACGCTGTTTGATGAGATGTAAGTGAAAAAAGTAAGAGAAACGTCCCGCAGGCGGTGTGGGAGCGGCAGCCCCTAAAGGCAACCACCATCTGACAAGTCCCTGCCTCACTTTTTAAACAATGGTCAGGACTTTCAGCTTGGGTGGAGATAGTATAATGCATCTGAAAACTTTTAATTGCAGCAATAAAAGGCCATACCTCAATTATATGACATATGCCAGCAGAATTTCTAGATAAGGATCAAAGGCATTCAAGGACCCGCCGCCGCATTCTGGGCGACTCTCGGGCTCTCTGTACACACTGCTGACACGCAGGAGCAGGGCAGCCCCAGTGACCTCGCCGGGCGGCTTTGATCTGGCCCCCGAGACTTGACGCAGGCGCGCCCAGCACTACTGTTGCATCCTCGACACCCCGGTGCCCTCCCTGACAAAGGCACTGCGGACTCAGGGTTACTTCCCTGACACTTACTCCTGGGGACAAAACTCCGCATCTGCCCTGCTCAGTTCCCACCTCGGGCCTGCAATCCATTTAAAGAGCCTGCAGTGTAAGACAGTGTCCCTGTGCTCTGGTTCAGTCTTGTTAGTAATGTGCTGATGATGTTTTAAAAGCAAAGCAAATCTGCGGAGAGAGAGTCGCAGTGTCTGGTAGCATTACTGTTCATGGAAAGATGACCTCTGTGTTCTGTTTGTTAGTTAACACCTAAGAGATGCACAAACGCTGAGGCAGGACAGACTTCGTTCATCTCCCTGCAGCAGAAGAGTGAGGACGCAAGGCCACGGTTCTTTCACAAGTAAGATGGATTAATTCACAAAAATAGAACGGCCAGAGCTAATCTAATCTAGCACATTAAGGCATATCCATCTTGGTGAGCGCTTGAGACTTCGAAGGACACAAGCACATTCTCATTTATTGCGCCTGAAAATGTCCCCGTGGCCCCTCCTTGCCTTTCTTTTCTATTGATTGGGCTGCTGCTTCCCTGAAGGCAGCTAAACCAGCGGCCCCAGGCATGGCATCTGCCAGCAAAGGAAAACAGTGAACTCAATGGAGGGAAGTTCTTTAAAACTCCATGTTTCTGTGTGAAGAAATATCCTTTAGAGTGTGGTCAGGTACTTCCTACTTCTTTGGTGCTGAAACAGCCTTTC